CTGGGCTTTTGTTGGCCTCTGTTGCTCGCGGTTTGCCCGGCATGACCCCTTGTCTTCAGCGGCCAACTCCGTCGAAGGCTTGGGATGTGATAGTACACCCTTCGTCGTTCAAGATGTCGCTGTACTTCAGTCTTCCTTGCCAGTTTGCGGGCAATGCCTGGCGTGAGTGTCTTCCGCTCCTGTGCTTCGGAATTGCTGTGCAATTCCCTGTGTGACTCGTTTCAGGCTTTTTGGAAATTTGTTTACAAAAGAAGTTCAATCCCTTTTCATTTTTTTCGGTTGAAGGCGTGCTGCTTGGCAGCCATCACCTGTTTTCCCACAGACTGATTGGCTCCTGCAGTTGAGGATGTGGAGGGTTTTCGGTTTGGTCGGCTATTGTTCCCATGTTCTTGGTCCGTGATCCTGCGCTTCTTTGCAGCAACAGCCACTCCTCATCGTGGAATCTGATAATTTCGTAGGCCAGGCTTGCTGCTTCTGTACTGGTTTGGATGTACTGTGCGGTGCAGAGTTAGCTTGCATGGCAAACCGTCATCGAGTGTCCAACCTTTTCGGGTTTGTTTTGATGGGTATTGGGATTGTTCGGTTGGTCGTTCATCCGCTGCAGAAGCTGCTCGCTAGAATTTGCCCACAGCGAAAGTTCCGTGCATTTTCGGGTTGACGGCGTGGTTGTCGGCTGGCTCCTGCAGTTCAGGTTTTGGGGTTTCCGGTTTGGTAGGCTACAGAGTTCCTGTTTCAGGGTTTCTGGATCTTTCACCCGGGCTCCGTTACAGCATAAGCCGCTGAGCATCGCTGAGCGGCTGAACGTAAATAGAAGATTTCCTCGACGAGGCTTGCGTCAGTAATGGTTCAGACCTACTGCGCGATGCAGACTTGGCCTGCATAGCCGTCCGAGAGTCCAGAATTTTCGGGTTGGGCGGCTTTCCAGTCACTCGTTTCGAAGGGATTTCTTTCGCGTTTGGTTTTCCCAGCTTGATTAGAGGTTCGGATCGCTGTGTCTCGGGATTGTTTGTGCAGTCTGGCAGTCATCGCCGTTGCCGGCCACCGCGCCCCTCTCGCACATCGCACCCCTGTGTGGGAGTCTTCCTGCGACAGATCGCGCTGGGTGTTTATTAACGTTTCCGGGCCAGCATTTTCGGGTTTGACGGACGTAAAGATTGCCCACCAGTTGTCTGGATTGACCTTGTTTCGGGTTTCCAAAGCTTTTTTTCTGCTCGCCATTCGTGCGGAGGTGCCACATTGCAGTCTCGGGTTTAAAGTTTGCCAGGGTCGAAACCCTCCAATCCTCTTGCACTTGCTGCTAGCGAAGTCTGCTTTGCAAAAGGGTTGGGATTGCAAGCCATCAGTTTGGGTTGGGATTGCCGGCCATCAGTGTCCTGCACGAAATTGCCCAACCATTTTTGCGGCTGGGCTTTTGTTGGCCTCTGTTGCTCGCGGTTTGCCCGGCATGACCCCTTGTCTTCAGCGGCCAACTCCGTCGAAGGCTTGGGATGTGATAGTACACCCTTCGTCGTTCAGGATGTCGCTGTAGTTCAGTCTTCCTCGCCAGTTTGCGGGCAATGCCTGGCGTGTCTTCCGCTTCCTGTGCTTCGGAATTGCTGTGCAATTCCCTGTGTGACTCGTTTCAGGCTTTTTGGAAATTTGTTCACAAAAGAAGTTCAATCCCTTTTCATTTTTTTTCGGTTGAAGGCGTGGTGCTTGGCAGCCATCACCTGTTTTCCCACAGATTGATTGGCTCCTGCAGTTGAGGATGTGGGGGGTTTTCGGTTTGGTCGGCTATTGTTCCCATGTTCTGGGTCCGTGATCCTGCGCTTCTTTGCAGCAACAAACACTCCGCATCGTAATCTGATAATTTCGTAGGCCAGGCTTGCTGCTTCTGTAATGGTTTAGATGTGGTAAGCCGTCATCGAGTGTCCAGAATTTTCGGGTTTGGCGGATTTCCATTCACTCAATTTGAAGGGCGTTCTTTCGCTCTTGGTTTTCCCAGCCTGATTGGAGGCTCGGATCGTTGTGTATCGGCATTGCAGAGTCTGGCAGTCTTCGCCGTCTCCCCGCTTGAAACTGTTCTGCCACCGCAGCCTTCACTTTGTATTGCTGCTTGCCGAGGCCAGCTCCTTCGAGAGTTTGGAGTTTGCTTTGTTCGAATTGTGAAATACGGCTGCGGCACCAGATGCGGTATAGTTTTCCTTGCGAATTTAGGGTTTAGCATCCGGATTTGTCGAACCGTCGCCGCTCACGACGTTCCATGTAATTTCGGGTGTTTGCCAGCCATCAGCTGCATCCTCCCACACTGGCTCACGCGTGAGGTGTTGGGTTTGGCGTTTTGGATCTACCACAGAACTCCTGCCAGCCAGCTTTTTCGCATCCTTAGCCGTTGAAGCCGTTGAGGTGGAAGATTCCCTCGACCAGGTTTGCTTTCGTGGTTTGTTGAGCCATTGCACGTTGTGCAAATGGCTCGCAGGCCATAGATCTTGTGGCGGCTGCGAGTCGTTTGAGGTTATGGTGTCGGCCGGCTGCCATCCAGTTTCCGACTTTTTCGGGTTTGAAGGACGTCCCATCAGTCGTTTGAGTTTGGGTTTCCCGCACATATTCCGGTGACTGTAGTGTGTAAGGTGTAGATTTGTGGCGCTTGGGGAGTTCAGTCTGCCAGTGATTGCTGTGTTGGGCTTGGGATTGGCAAGCCACCCAGACCCTGACTTCTGACAAAGTCTGGGGTTCGCTGGTGCCCAATCCTTCTGCCGACAGTTTCCCTTCCCTTTTGTTGGAAGCGCTTCCCGCCTGTTTTAACCGCTTGTTTTCAGCGGCCAGCTCCGCCGAATGTTTGGAGTTTGTTGTTGAAGCCTTCCTCGTTGTCGGAACCTCTGTCTTGTTCAAGGTTCACGATGGTTTTGGGCAGTCATTCTTGGTGCGGTATCGTTCGGTTTTCCGTGCCAGTGTAGGATTTTGGGTTTGGCTTTGAAGTTCGTCAGGCATCGGTGTGGGTTTTCAGTTCGTTGGATTTGCTCTTGCCCCTTTGCATCACTCTGTTCAGGCTTTATTCAGAGCGTGCCCAGCACGGATGCAGCGTTACGCGTCAGAACATTCCCTCCAATTTCGGGTTTAAGGCGTGCCAACCACAAGCTTCCTTGCTACATCTTTCCAGAGTGTGCAGTGAATGAATGTTTTGGTTTTGGGTTTGGTGCTTAGGCTCTTGCAGTCATAGTCATCGCCAGTCGCTCCCTTTTCAAGGCATTGGCTCTGCTGGCCAGCATCTCTTCCCAACCCTCGTAGACGACTAGTTCATCAACGATGTTTTCTCTTGGTTTCGCCAGACTTTCTGCCGCAAAGTTTCAGATCGGCCATTGCTTGCTGTTGGCTCAGCTGATCGCAGCCCATACAATTCATACAGATTAACCCAGCTGCGAGTCGTTTTAGGTTTGGTCGGGGCCAACACCGATTGTCCAGCATTTTCGTTTTAGAAGGATGTCCACGGTGTCAGATTTACCAAGCAGTCTTTGATGGTTTAGGGCGTGGTTTTGGCTGGGTGTGTAGAGTCTCACCCCTCTGTTGCATTACTGCTTTGCAATCCTGCGCTTGCTCAGAGAAGTTTGCAAAGATGTCGGGATTTGCTATCCACCACGCTGTTGCACCACCATGTCCAGGGTTTCGAAGTCGCCTGCACGACTCTGCTGTCTTGTGAGCTCTGCGTCTTCAGAGTCTGAGGTTCGCTTGTGCCGGTGTTTTGCAGTCTCTGTTGCTTTCAGCGGCCGGCCAACTCCTTCTAAACTTTGGGGTTTGCCTGTGTTGAGGGTTTGCTGATTTCGGCCAGTTTAGGGTTTCGAGTTAAGTTTGGAGGCTTGGTGGGAATGCATGCTTGTTCTTGAAGCATGGTACCGTTGTCATGATCTTTGACAAGCGAAAATTTGAACGCTTTCGTTGTTTAAGAGTGCAGACCGCTGGCGAGCAAGAGTTGACACTGCATCATCGATGAACCATGCAGCTCTGGCTTCTTTCCGGTACCGTCTAGCAGCTGTATCGGTTGCTTTGTGGTACATGAGAAATTGGTGTGTTCTGCCATGAGTTCTTCTGCTTCGTTGCCTCGCTCACAGAAGGTATTCGACTTGGCCCACCGTGGGAATCTGCCAAATGGATTGTCGGATTTTCCTCCGTTTGCTCTGATTACGCGAGTAAGGGCGTTCCATCCAATTTTGGGTTTAGGCTGTGAGTCTTGCCAGCCATCAGCTATGTTGTGCGGTTTGGGATGTGGGAGCTTCTACGCGACCTTCTGGATTTAGGAGGATTCGCTAGCCACGCGTGCTCTTTGACTTGCTCTTGTCTGTGGCGGTTCAGAGGTTGGCGATCCCGCGATTTCAGGACTTTGGAGGGTGTATGATTTCGCGGCCATCAAATCCTTCGCATAATGAGTCGCTGTAGACGATGTCACTGATCAAGTTTTCTCATGGCTAGATGGGGCTTGCTGCTTTGAAGGCATGCCGGCTGTCCAGCATATTCGGGCTGAAAGGATTTCCATCCCGCTTGAATCGTTTGAATTGTCCCTTCCATACTATTCGGATTTCCAGGGTGTGTGATGTCTGCTGCGCGCTTCAGGCTGTTTCGCATTGGAGTTGTTTTCACGCTGTGCTTATGGTGGTGCACTTTCTTCGTAATTGAAACCCTAAGCCCTATCTTTTGCTTACAGTCGCACGTGAAGCAAGCACCGTATAAAGACGCCTGCAGGACGAGAGGCGGCTTTTCATGCTTTTGGAGTACGTGAACGGCGGCGAGCTGTTTTCGTGCGCATCTGGTCAATGCCGACCCAAAGCATTGATTACATGTAATCGGGTGTGGCCGCCCCGGCAGGCAGGATTGTAGGAACAACGACTTCGGCTTGCATGTGTTCTGACTGTCCTGGCGACTGACGACCCATCCGACACTGTCGCAAGCTGTTGATTTTACTGACTGCCATCAGTTTCACTAGAACAGATGTCACGCCAGAGCCATGGCCCAGCGGTGATAGCTGGCGAATGTGTGCGGACCTGAGCAATCCCTCTGAATGGAAGATTTGTCAGATCTTGGAAGCCGCTTTTATCTCCAGCGGCATCAGCGATGATGACCTAAGCGAGATTGGCAATGTGGTGGCGTCGGCCGACCTGGAGATTGAGCAGCTTCTGGGGGATCTTTCCGAACTCGATCGTGTTTGCAAGGCTATGATGATAGATGCTATAGATGCGGCCGGGATGGATGTGAACCAAGACGCTCTGAGCATCCCACGAGCACAGTTGTATGCATTGACCCAACGGTTGATTTTCAGTTTTGGGGGCAAAGCCCCTGAGACGATGAGTAACATCTCAGAAGTGTTCGGAGCGACCGTTCAAGAGAAAGGTGTTGGACTGCGTGAATTCAAGGGCTTCCTGGCCTCCGTATTGACACAGCTGAAAAAGGAGAGGGAAAAGCATGACCAGTCTGACGGCCAGACGGCTTTTTCACAGACAATCTCTTCACAGACCGACGACTCGTCGTGGCCGAGTTCATGGTTGGAAGGCGCTGCAGCCAGACTCCTGCAGAGGGTTGACAACATCGCCATCAAGCTGGACGATTTGGTTGAGCCGGAGACAGCAGAATTGGCGGATGAACTGGTGGCTCCTCTTCATTTCAGGAGCTCCCCAAAAACGAGAGCTTTTTTGTGGTTTTTCGGTGCTTGACCTGCACCCGTGTTTTGGTCAGGCCCGCGCCGCTTCGAGGAGGGCCGCCGCGAGAAGGGGCGCCGCAGGAGGCGGCTCTGAGCCCAAGTCCCTCGGCGGCCAAAACCGCTGCCGGCTTAAGAGCCTTTCTGAGAGCGGGGGTTTTGGGCGTCTTTTTAGAAATACATTCTTTCGGCACGGCCTTCGAGGCAGCGGCCCTGAGAGCAAGGCTGTGGCCGCTGCAGCCCGAGCCCCAAGCGGCGTGGTGTCTCCGGGAGCCCTGGAACCCGGCTCTGCCAACAGCCAGGCGCCCTGGCCGGCCAGTCTCATGCTCGAGGCAGAGAGTCAGGGGCCGCCCATCCCATTCTAGCTCCCTGAACCGCAACCTAGAGGTTAGGTCCTTGTGTGCAACTCCGGTACCGGTCACTCCTGCAGCGTGAAGCAGGAAAGCGGACTGCCGGTAGACGCGGCTCTGGCAGACTCCTGGGCACCTATGCGGCTGCTGGTGAGGTGAGGCATGGAAACAGAGTGTTGCCACATGCTGCTGCAGCAGTATCAAGACCTTCAAACAGAGGCCCGGAAGCAGCTACTTGGACCTTGCCCCATCCAAGTCGGATCACGCTCATGGTGTTGGAGGCTGAGGTTTCTGGCAGATCACCTGTGTCTCAGTTGCCTGAGTCTCTGAAGTTTCTAAGGCCGTGCGCTTCCGTTTGAGACCCCGGCTCAGATCTACTCTGCCATCTGCAAACTCCCCGATCTGGTCAAAGCCGAAAGGTGACATCTGCCGAGTTGTGCGAGAGTTTTCCGGGAAACTCGGCTTAAGAGTCGCAGCACTGTCGCAGCCTTTGAATCTCAGAGATCAAAAAAACTTTCAGGCGCCTCTGCACACTTTGCTTGGAGTTCGAAGAGGCACGCCATGTCGTTGCAACAGAGAGCTCTTCACAACGACACCCTGCTGTCTGCAGGGATCCCTGCTCCTCCGGATGCCATCCGAACATGCAGAGGTCGCAATCAACGGTCTCATCCGCGACTGCAGGCAGGCCTTTGCTGTGCGCGTGGCCTCGTTCCTCTTTTGGAGCGCTGCAGGATTCCCATCGTGGACGCGCGCCCTGGCTCCTGAGGCCTCAGACTAGGCGAGCTGCAAAGTCGGCTGAGGAGAAAAGACGAACGAGGGATACAGGATGCCAGTGCGAGGATTGTACTGTGCATGGATTCCTTCAGGTACTTGCGCAGAGAAGGACGTCTCCCGAACGACCAGGTTCGCTTCTACTCCGGTGTGCCTCACCGGCACTCAGCCTGAAGCCGCACCAGTCCTGATCACAACACGCAGCTTTTGCATCCACGTGGCCATCAAAGATTCCGAGCCTCTTTCACAGAATTCGTTTAAGGATTGGCGGCATAAACGGCAGCCCACATGATGCGTTACATGGGGTCACTTTCTTAATGCGACCACTACACGCAAAACGAACGCACATGTTTTTTAATGCCAAACGGCACGGCGGACCTGATTGGCGCAGAGTCGGCGAATGCACCCGAAGTCTTGTAGGTGCCAAGGGCATTTCGCCTCATCAAGTGTGGTTTGCGCAGCTCGTAGGCTCCTTTTGACAACAACCTTTGCAACATAAAGAGAACACCTTCAGCTGAGAGCCGTTTGCACCTATAGACGCACAATGCTCTGGCGTCAGACTCTGGCTCATGCCACTGTTTTGGAGTTTAAGACTGTTGTCACACCACGGTTTGTGGGAGCTGAGGGATTGGCACTCAGCGTTCCTTGTAGGGCTCAGTGCTTCGAAAGGATGACCCTCGAGACATAAACCTTGGGAATTCAAGGCCTAATGTACGCTACCGCAGCTTGCTGCTTCGATCTTCCCACAAAGTGGTTTAAGGCTTAGTCCATGAAATGGGATTGATGATTGGGTCGCTCTGGAGGGCTTTAGCATGGTTTACTGGTTTACAGGCAGCCATTCTGTCTCATGAAGACGGCTTGTTGTTTTTTTTTGTTGCTGGTTCACCGAAATCCAACAGCACCTTCCAAGAAGCGAAGATGGTGCGATGCGTGCTTGTAAGGAGATTCTGTTGGCCTTCGGGTCTGCGCCTCTGTGCGGGTTGCTGCATGTGTTGGGAGTGATCCTCGACCTCTCTCCTCGACAATGCCCGAGGTATCTTCACAGCCTCCATGTAGTCTATCGGGATCTGAAGCCTGAGATTCTTCGCAGCATAAATCGATTCTGGCCCTGTGTGCCCGAGCACGCGCCCGCTTTGCACAAGGAATGCGCTCCTTGACTTCGAAGGGCACATCAAGTTGACAGACTTCGGGTTTGCCAAGGCTCGTAAACCATCTCAACGTCAAAGCCAAACCACGCCAATCAGATTCTAACCTTGAGGGTTCCTTCGAAGCCTCAAGCTAACTTGGGAGTGGGGTCTTCGGAGGCACTTTGAGGCGTCTAGGAGGTCTTTGGCTTTTTGGGAACTTGTGCCTAGACCAGAAAACAGCGCCCACAGAAGGGTCAGGGGCTGGGTTTCTACGCGAGCTCCCAGCATTTGGCAGCTGATCCTTTGCTCGCTTGCGGCATTTCTGAGCAGGTTGTGGAAGAAAGAACGTGGACACTCTGCGGGACGCCCGAGTCCGCACCGGGGTGGGCCGCGAGCATGCCTAGGGCTAGGCCGTTTTGGTCGCCAGGTACCTGGCTCCCGAGATGATCCAGTCCAAGGGCCATGGCAAGGCGTCTCTGCCCTTCTCCTTCTGCAGTGGTACCGTCTGCCAGAAGCTTCGAGTCACAGGGAGTGGACTGGTGGGCCCTGGGCGTCCTGCTGTACGAGATGCTGGCAGGAAGCTTTACGCTTGCTCCCATGACGCAGCTTCCGACGGTATCTGTTCGGGCATCAACGCAGGATATCCCCCTTTTTATGACGAGAACCCTTACGGCATATATCAGAAGGCAGGCCGCAGAATGTCGGGTTCTTTCAGAGCCAGCAGATGGCGAAGAAATCCCACGGTGAGCGCAAAGCTCGTTTTGATCTTGCAGGTGCTGAAAGGTCACGTGGACTTTCCGCGCCATTTCGATGTCAAAGCCAAGGAACCCTTCGGACGGCATGGCGGTGTGTTGTGCATTTCCTGGATCTTCTTTCTTAACCCTCCCTTGGCCTGGCAAACCTTGCTTGGACAGGACCTTATACAACGGCTGCTGCAGCAGGACAGGTCAAAGCGTCTGGGCTGCCTCAAGCCCGAGCCTCAAGTCCTCTGGAGCTGTTTCGTCCGTGACAGAACTTCTGGGCGATAGAATCCGGCAGGGCTGGTGTCGAGGACGTGAAGAAACACAAGTGGTACAAGGTGCATATGCGAGTTTGCTGTCAGCACATGTCAAGCACTGTCAGATCACGGTGCATGGAGGGCATGGACTGGGACCTACTTCTCACTCGGAGCGCCAGGGACTGGGACCACTGAGAGCTTTCTGTTTTCATGGTGGCTCTTCGAAACCGGCGCAGGTCACACCACCATTCCGTCCTCCTGTCCAATCGGAGGATGACACCTCAATGTTTGACAGGTGGCATCCGCGCCTCATGACCTGTTTGGGCAGCTTCCATGCGATGCAGGTACCCTGAAAGCACAGAAGCTTCTGCGCCAGCTATCTCAGCAAAGGCACACGCCGGAATCAGAAGCTCAATGTCGGCACATGTCAAGCCTGTCAGGAGCAAGAGAGCTTTCAAGAATTCGACACGAGCATTCTCGGAGCCTGAAAATTCAGGAAGACGTGTTGGCAACTGCTGACAGCACAGGCTTACAAGCAGTGTTACGTCGGTGGAGGCCGCTGCTAATGCCTTCATGTGGCTCCCCAAGGGAGCCTGTTTAGATAAATTGCGGTGAGTGCCTGGGCTGAAGCCGCTACGGTAGTGCCGCAAGCAGGACAACAAAGCCGATCGAAAGACCGATCCGCCTCTTGTGTGGATTGCCCAGAGCAAGTAGACACGATGCAAGTGTGCAAAGGACTTCAGCCACGACATCTCAAGTACCGGCGCTGCATCCAGTCTGTGCGCATGTGCACACATGTGCAGTCGCTTGTCAAACTACCCCAAACCAGACCGACCCTCTCCTGAAAGCCCTCGTTTGCCACTCCGACCATAGAAAAGGCATTTTGCATAGGAGGCCAGGAATGTCGCATGCCAACTGGCTATGGTGACAGAAGGCTTTTGATCCGATTCTGCCGACCGCGGGTCAGTCTTCGGCGAGTATGCACAGAAGACTGTATGGTCGGAGGTTGGATGATGAAGATGTGATATATCACAAGTTTCCGAAAGCACCGATTGTCGTCGACCTGAGTCAGATCGATGGAGGCGGAAAGAGATTTCCGGGCTCCTCTTGGTTGGAGGAAAAGCTGCGGAACAAGCAGGCTGTGGGCTGGGACTTAGAGTGGCCGCCAGACCGAAAGGACAGGGACAATCCGATTGCATTGATGCAGTTTGCGGATGCAGACACTGCCCTGCTTGTAAGAACTCACGTCTCGCAGTCCTGGCTTCCTGACCTCATTCAGTCAGTGCTGGAATCCGAGAGCTGCATCAAAATCTGTGTGGGCTTTGACAGTGCCGACAAGCACAAGATGCGGACTTCATTCAACCTCCTTCCAGCGGGCTTGCTCGACCTGGCAACATTGGCTGCGCAGAAGGGATTGAAGGAAGCGGGTCTGAAAAGCCTGGCGGAGCGCTTTAACTTCCGGATCCGCAAGGAGCCTCGCATCGCCAGGTCCAACTGGGCGCAGGAAACACTTACGCCGGAGCAGGTGACCTACGCCGCCGAGGATGCCTACTTCACCTTCCTCTTGAGAGAGAAGCTCGAAGAGCTGCCTGACAAGAAGGAGGAGGTTCAATCCCTAGCCGTGGAAGGCCAGCTGCGCCTTCAGGAAGGTTGGGTCGAGCAAGGCATCGAGAAACGGCACGATGGCCTTTGGTGCCAGCTTTGCCATCAAGGCCCGATGAATACACCCGACAACGTGCGAACTCATCTCATGGGCAACAATCATGCCCCCTGGCCTAACTTCGCTTCTATCCGATCTAGTCAGCCAAGGGCTCTGTGTTGAAGATCCTGAGGCGAAGAAGATTCGTGCCAGATTGGGCATGGACCAAGCAGTGCAAGAAGTTTTGACAGATGTCCCTAGCCTCAAGTGGCTTTCGAGGCTTGGAACAGGTTCATGTGACGGGGGGTGTCGCCAGGAGCATGAGCACAACTACATCTACGCCGGCGCGACCCGGACGCAGAGCAGAAGCCATCCTGAATCAGCCCATATTGGCCAGAAGCTGCTTCGTATGAGGATGGCCTCAACGGGGTGGACAAAGGCAAGTTTGGATGCAGTCTTTGCGGAACGAAGACGCTGCAAAGCTCCATGGCAAAATGCGTGCTTCGTGACTTTCAATCCAGCAGTGCATGTTCACCTTTTGCACACTCTGAGATCTACAAGCCGTGACTGTTCATATCAATTCCAAAGGGCATCAGAAGGCCAGCATCTCGAGTAGGGATGAATCTTTTCTGTGTCAAGCCTTTCCAAGCTGTGCTTCATGCTCCGCGATTCTCTCTTTTGTTGTTTTTTGTTCTGTCGTTCTTCCTGCTTCACTTTGTTTAACTACACATGCCTCCAAGGCCGAGTGTATGCGGGTAGCAAGTTAGACTGATACGAAGCAAGCGAGACGGGAAGGTCAAGTTACACCCTGCTCGTGACTCACAACATGTCTCGGTTGAGGTGAGTTCTTCGGGAGAGCTCTTCGATTGGAAAGCGTAGTTACTCGATGAAGGATAGGACAAGCGACCGGGCTTTCCCAAAAATCTGGGTGTACACCCCATGCAGGGCAGAGCAACTTGGCCGGTCAGTTGCAGATCGCGCTCGCAAACTGGAGGTTGCAAGCCTGTCAAGATTTCAGCATGCGGCTTCGCATGGGGCAGAGTCCCTTCACACGAGCAAAAAATAGTCGAACCTCCTATTCCAACAAGAAGCATTCTTGGACCAGAACCGATGTGTGCCAACCTGTGCAGGGCGAGCTTTGTTTCCTCTCCAGTGCCGATGCTGTGCAACGTTGCAGTCTTCCGTTGGCAGGCGATGAATCCCCAAGCGGATCCTAGATTCATCAAAGAAGATCCACTGGAGAGACTGTGGACGTTCGGCATTCCAAAATTAGCACGTGTGCAGGTTTGAACTTGGCTAGACGGTGCCATTGCCGTGAATCAGATCGTCTCATCTGGTCGCGAGGAATCTTCCTGATTACATACTCTTGGACAAGGGCGTAGATGATAAGCAAGAGCTGGTCTGCGACTCTCCTGCAAGTGGCATTCCGAATGTGCCGTTTCGTTCGTCTCCCAGTTTGGCCACCCAGTGCAAACTAAGGCAGCCTTTGCCAGTCCAGAGCGAGCAAGGTCAGCCAGAGACATGTCTCAAAGCACGGTGCTACACTTATCAAGCATGTTTCTACTCTTTGCCGTCATGCATCCGAGGATGTATTTGCACATCCATGGTGCCTGAGATGAGATTAATGTGCGACGCTGGTTAACTTCATTTTGGAATACTTGGCGGGAGCCAAGGCCAAAGGCACGTCAAGAAAGCGCGCCAGATGTCGAAGGAAGACATCATATTTGTCCAGGAGCCTTGGACAAAGCTTCTTTCCGAAGTGGATGGACAGTCTTGACTCGCGCTGAGGAGAAGAATCAGCTCGAATACACGCAGACAGGTGAGATTGTAGTTCGCATCCCGGCTGGTTGGTTTACCATCGGATGGTTTTCAGGTTTTACTTGGTTCAGTTTTAGACCCCCAGATGGGCAGAACCCCGACATCGGCCACCGGCCCCAATTACAATCAGAGTTTCGCTTCACAGCCAAGCTCCCCAAACACTGTACCCTAAACTCTATACTGCATAGAATGTCTCCTCAGGTAAGAACTTCGAAATACCTCGTGGTCGGGCTTGGGCCTTGGTGCCTGGTGTCAGCAGATGCTTAAATCGCCGCGAACCCGCCTCTCTATGCGTGAACTGGATCTGCAGTCGCAGGTGAAGCCAGCTAGCAGGGAACCCAGCAATACTCGTTCGGCCACATCGAGAGCTTGTCCATGTCCTAGCATTCAGAAAAGCTTCGTGCAAGGTGTGCCCGCCCCATTGCCAGAAGGCTGGCAATCAAACATTGACCCAAACTCCGGGAAGGTATACTACTGGCACGTTCCGAGATTGCAAAGTTTTGGCAGCATGGTGATTCAACTCGGCTCATGTTGAGTCCCGAGGTAGACAACTCGGCACAACCACAATGGGAGCATCCTGGAATAAGCAGCGCCCTTCCCGGCAGAAGGATTTTCCCGGAGCCAGTTCAAGCAGTTCTGCTCAGATTCTCGCACCTTGATCTAAGGCCCCAAATCTGCGCGGAGTACGAGTTCGCAGTCTCCAAGCCGGCCGTCAGCATGTCAATTTGTTTATGCCCGTGCTAGGACTTCTTGTGTCAAAGGCAAATACATGCGCGCTCTACCCGATGACTGGGAAGAGCACGAGACAGACGATGGCCGAAGATTTTACTACTGCAGACTGGCATGTTTCTAGAAACACCTTCGAATTTAGTGTAATTGCGCATTCATTTTCTTGTCAGAGAGCGGTCTGTTTGGACGGAACAGGCCTCAGAACATTGAGGGTGCAGTGGCAGCGACCGACTTTTGCAAGTCCTTTCGCTGATGGTGCCCAGTGCCGGGCGAATATTCAACTTCACGAAGCCACGTCGCCTAAGCGCAGCGATCGAGCCGATGGCGCCTCTACCGTGCCTTCAGCCACGTCCAGCCCGTCGAAGCCCGCGAAGCTCTCCCCTTCCAGGAACAGGCCTGAGCTTGCTGACCCTGAGCCAGCACAAACGGAACCTGCGCAGCCAGCGCCTCGAGACCACTTCGAAACGCGACACAGCGAGCCGGCGGCTCAAGCGCCGTCAACGACGGCACGGCCACCGCTGGCTCCTGGCTGGGCTTCGTACTGTGACGACAACGGTCGTGAGTTCTTCTGGGACGCCGAGCACCAGGCGACTACGGCCGGGAACGTTGCCTCGTTTTTGAAAAGTCGTAGCCGTGGCAGCATGGCAGCATTTCGTTTGCTTTTGAAGGTGTCGAGCTGGACACCGCCCGAGCCGTACGGGTACCAGAACGAGACGTGGAGTCGAATGTCGGATAGCCAGGGTGCTTTCTGGAAGTGCCGATCCCGAGAAGACTGTCCGGGTGTCAGTCCAGGCCTGAGGCGCCGGCTTTGAAAAGCCAAAGACTGGCTTGGCCGTCTGCTGATATCTGCCAAGGCTTCTACGAGTTTGACTCAAGCTGGCATCGACGGAAGGACCTTCTGCAAGTAGAGTCACAAGAGGCAGACGAGTCAACTAGGGAACGCGAGGGCCTAGGGCTCATTTGCAGGACAGCACGGGCCGGATCTATTGGAGCAACCCTGCGCGTCGGATCCGTTTCTTTGAGCCAGAGCCAACTATGCCAGTTCCTGCGGGCTGATGCCCGGTGGGTGGGAGGCGAAGCAGGGAAACAAGGCTCAGACACTCAGATGACGGAAGCAGCCCTTTGCGAGTTGCTGCGCTGTGCCGGGAAGCCTGGAGATGCCCGGAGAAGTCTTGAGCAGCGCTGCGAAAGACGTCCAGCGACCATGAAGGCCCCGAGCATGCGCCCCAGCCCCATCCAGCCCCCCCCTTTCCCACAGTTTAACTATCCACGGCCGCGAGCCGACACCTTACCCATGAGCCGTAGACATCGTAGAATCACAGCGATCGTGTGACGAAGCAGCAGGAGGAAGCAAAAGGGATACTGCCACTGAGTGCAACATGATTTTGCCGAAAGCAAGGTGCGCTCTGTTGAAATCCCCAGTCAAGAGATCCCTGTTGGGCCCCACCCACGTGCCTGCTTGTTGCGTGCCGATGTTTTGAGCTCTACGGTTGATAGCAGAGCAGCCAACTAGTGAGCATCAGCAACATCGCATGGATAGCCTGCTTATGTAACAGTGGATGCGGTCTCGCAGCCGCAAAGGCTGGCGTAACAGACTGCCGAGAAGCGGGAATACAAACCAAGACCTTCGCAGAATGCTCGAAAACTCTGAGAGGAGAAAATTGAGGAACGTCAAGACAGTATGCTGTTGACCACGGGTGCGCGGGGGTCCATCAGGCCAAAGATAGCTCTGTCAGCGGCTTCTGCCGCGGGGTCTCTGCCATGTGGCCAGTTTCCGACTTGGTGGAACATTTGAGGCCGTCCAGAACGCAGCTGTACTCCGGTAGACAGAAGGAGTCGTCACGTCAAACAACAGGCAGCTTGAGCTGCGCCACCTTGCCGTTGTGAGGGACCTGCACAGCCCTTAGAGTGCTTACAGTTCTTTGAGCCTCCGACTGGCGGATCCGGGAATCCATTCCTTCCGCAGTTCGCAAGCGCAGGCCACCAGAACTTGGATACTGGATCGTTTGCATTGTTGGGATCCTGAGCTGCACATTGTGAGTGAGTGACTTGACGGTGTAGGAAGGCATCTGTATTACGGGCATCAAGTTCGTGACGGAGGTGCAGGAACATTGGTAGCATCCTAGGACCTGGCAAGGCAAAACCAAGAAACAAGCTTTTGCCAATCTTCCACTCTTTGCGGTAGAGTACTGCAGCAGATCCAAGGATTTCTTTCGGCTCCCTTTGTGTCCTGGGCATGCTGCCATGGTCTTACGCCAGTAATCGTGTAGCGATCCAACACCTGGAGACGGAAGGCTTTTCTGCACCCGGATGTCAACTCGGAAAGCGGAGCTGCTCCGCCACTTGTCCTTTGTGATGTGGCTGCCTGAGATCATACGTTCTGGTGACACCCAAAGTCGCCGAGCTAGGATAGAGTGGAAGCGGCATGCCACGCTGGCCGAAGCAGGCTTCACATAACGGATTACATCACCAACATCCTGACCATGGTGATCGTTGGGTGCTTGTGACGTCTGGTGCTGTGCAGAGCCCTGAAGCCAGAGGTTCTGGCCGCCCAGGTGTGCCTTGTGGATCATCCGCGCTACTTCTATGTGCTTCTCCTTTCGCAGTCTTCTCAGGAACTTCTGCATTGAATCCACCCGCATTTGAAGAGGAAGAGGATCAAGCTAATCGAGTACATATTTGTGGGACGGTGTCGTCGACAAGCCGGCACATGCGATGGTCTGAAGCATTCGATCAGCTTTCGATCATGTCAATCCTGCTTCAACAGTAGATACAAGCATTTGCACTCGTCTCAGTGGTCCTAAACTCCCAAGACAGGGGGTGGAATGCACTGCTCTGAATCTTTCACTTCCGAGAAGGGGGGGAAGTCCAGAGAGGCGGTAGCACCGCGAACTTTTGTGCCATTCAGCTTGAGGTTCTTTTGGCATGTTCGGGAGATCTGTGTAGCCCCGCATTGGGAGTGCATGTTTCTGACATTCGTCGCTTGTAAGGCATCTCATCATCGGATGCTTCTGCACGTACACGGCATCAACTCGCCTGGAGCCTTTGCGAGTTGCTGATGTCACACGTGTCGTGGTGGAACGGGAAGTTCAAGTAGGATGGCGTAGCTCAGCTTGAGAGGACTGGAAGAGATGGTGCTGTGTGCCTTTCATCAATTTCTTCATCATGGCCTTACACTCAGGGTAGATTTGCCTTTTCCCATTCTTGTAGCCGAAAGAGAGTCAGGTCATCTGCATGGGGCTCATGCAGGGCGTGCAGCTCTGTATGGCTTACGAGGCAGACGAGGGGGTTCTGTTCGGCATACGGCATACGGCCCGTGTTCTCTGAGTTCCAGGGATGGTCCCAGTGATAGAAACTACATAGAAACTCATCCGGGGAAGGAGGGATCGGGCGTCTGTTTGATGGACATGCGGCAAACTGTGCATTGTGTCGAGGACTATTTGAAACGAAGAGCGCGATCTCTTGATGTCGAGTCAAACTTGTCGGAGTTCAGAGTCTCGCGCCGAGCTGCATGGAGAGTGCGCCCCGTCCGTTCTGTCTGTCACCATGCTCTCCTCAGGTGCCCGCGATGATGCCGGCCAGATTCCATAGCAAGGTCGCAGCTGTTTGCGCTGCAAGTGCGACCCAACACGGAAGTCGACTGATGGTGCATGAGGCGATGGACGGCTTGCTGGAAGGTTCCGTGTTTGCGTACGTGTCGATGTATGCATTGATCAAAGACCGCTGGGCAGAGTAAGACACTTGGAAAGCTCCATCAGCAGCTCGGCCCCATTCCACCTGTCCAGCAAACGGCCCAGGCCGCAATTCAATCCTGTGCAGCTTCAGACAGAGGACCTGCACTTGCTATGAGAGATTGTATTGTCCTCCTATGTCCTCTTAGCGCGACAAGAGTCAGAGGCCTGGTACACGCCGTGCCTGTACATAGGCGCGGGTAGTCTGTGAGCCTCTCGGGCCCCGGCGTCGTAGTATCGCGAGCTCTTTGTGCCAGGTGCTTTCTGCAGCATCCTCAATGTGGGCCTTGCTTTGGTTGAGGCCCTGGAAGCTTCGAGCCTGAGTCTAGTCTTAGCCGCGGAATCTCAGCCTTGACAGATCGACCATCGAACATCTGCATGTGTTGGGACCTCAGTATGCCATGACATGGGGTTTGCTCTCGCTCCGAATGGGTCATGCTTTGAGTAGACCTGAACGTACTTGTGCCGTCGACGACTGTCACAGAAGTCATTGTGTGAGGTTCAAAACGTGCTCGACGAGTCTGCTCTTGCGTCTTCCAGACATCTGGCGCTGGGCACCTAGAGCCTGCAATAGTTTTGAAGGCTTTCATAAGTGCCGTGCCATGAGTCGCTTTCGGGACAGGTTTCGTGCAGCAGAGTTCTCCATGCGACTGCTGACAATGCTGGCCCTCGCCTTTGTCATACCGGTCGTGGTTCCAGTGTTATGGAGCCTTGCTAGCTTCACGAGGCATGTAGAGATTCGCCCAAAACTGACTGCACGTAAAGATGTGGCTTTGCATCCTGCTCACTCGTAGTTTCAGAAAATCGGTTTTTGCAAGGAATATGCCATCCAAATCGTTCAGCAAGATAATGTAGTTTTCAAGCAAGACCGTGCTTGAAGCGCGAATGACGGATTGGTAAGCAATTCATTAGAATGTGGACATCTTTCACCTCATAGCTGAGCAATGCATTCGACACGACCCGGCAGACGCTGCAAGCACTCGTCGGCTGATGAGGCTTTCTGCACGTTCATGCGTCCACTGCATTATTGGTGGATAGCTTACGCTGCAACCTCAGAGCGAAGCTGTGTCTCATTTCAATAAGCGGTTGGAGTGTTCATTTTCTTGTATTTCCAGGTTTTGGTCGCTGCTGACTACTTGTTCGGCGTCGGTTCCTCAGGAGATGTGCGCACCCTCCGTGATATTCTGTGATTCATCTTTGTGCTAACGACAGGTGGCGCTTCTGGTTGTTCTTGGTGGCCGTGACCCAGTGCGCGAGGCCCCTCACCCTCCGCTAAAGCAGAAACGGCTGCGCCTTAAGTCTGCCCCGTAGTTTTCGAGTGTGTGAGCCGTGTGAGCGCTGTCTGTCTGTACAGTACGGAGTAGCCTCTGTTGGCTGGAGCTGCCTGTGCAGGCTAGTAGCTAGCACGACGGCACAGCACAGTGCAGAAGAACCTCCAGCAGCGTGCGAGTCACAAAACCCTAGGAAAGACAAGCCATGTGTTCATGAGGCAGTTTCAATTTGGGAGAAGTCGTTTCACCGAAAAATCGAGCTGCAAAGCAGGGAAACGGGCGGGGGATTTCTGGCCTAGGACGCCGGAAAGACTGAAAACGCGACTTCAAGCTGCCAGTGTCCCGACGTCTGGGGTGTTGCGCCGTCTGGGTGTCGTATCGCGTGTTGAAATGCAGGTGTTTCGCAGTGGGGTCCTGTCGTCTCGTGTGTCCTTCCTCATCCAGCAGTGTCTCGCGGTGTCTCGTTGTCCGGTTACCCCTCTGCCCTATGTAGCGGTAGGAGAATGTGAGCATGCCTGAGTCTGAGTGTCTTGGTCTGTCAGACTTAGCTTCACGCTCCTCGCACGGCCAAGTTGACAACTCAGTTTGCTGCGAGAGGCATCGGTGGTCTTGGGTGTGCCCCTCTTCATGGTGAACATCATGCAGCAACTTGGTCGCAGCACTGGTGCTGTTTTTCCACCGGCGATGTCTCCCCTTTCGGGTGAAGGTTCGTGGACGCACCTGGAATGAGTCTCCAGGCGAACTGTCCGATGCTGCAAAACTGTCATGCCCGAGGGGGGTGGCTTTCGTTTCTGTGCAGGCTCGCCAAATTTCGGAGATCATGTTTCCGCTGAGAACAGCAGAGCTGATTGGGGTGTCTTGGCGACAAAATCTGGCTTTGCCTCAACAGCCCGTCACACATTCACGCATTATTTGGGGTATTGCTACTGGTGGAGCGTCCTCTAAACGATGGTAGCAGGAGTTGGCTTCAGAGCTGTAGAGGTTCAGCAATGATGTTCCGGACCGTCGATGTCAGCGTGTGCAGCATGGCTTGGAGTATGTCTTTGGCGATTCACTTGGGAGTAGTGTACAATCTGAGATGGAGCGTCTTGAAGCCTGCAAATGGGGGATTGTTGCAGGTTCTTGGCTTCTCGTGGGGGACGCCTGAAGAGAGAGACTAGTTCCTGAGTTCCAAATGCCCTTGAGGCGAGTGCCCGCAGAGAGTTATGGGCGCATGCAAGCTAGCAGCTAGCTTGCTGGCCTGTGCTTCTTTGCAAAGCTAGGTATCACTCTGCTCAAGCCTAGATGAAGGTGCGTTGTCGTGTTCAGCTGGGGAGTTGGCATATGATCTGGCCGCCTGTGGTGTGCTCCCCTGCCCGGGATGTGGTCTCTGGCGTGGTTCTCCCTCTCCGATTTGCAGAAGCCCAGCAGATAGGCTTCGTGCCAGACACTGCTGCCATGCTTGAGATGCGAAATTGCCCCCCACATTGTCCCGCATGTCGTACACTTATGAAAGCCCGCGGAACGGAACACTGGTCCTCTCGACTCTTAGCATTGTTACATTGCACCAGCGATCCCAGCTTCCGGCAACGACGATTGCCACGAGGAGCGCGTCACCAACAGGATCAATCCCTGTGACCGTTTCAATTCTCTCTGTGATTGTTTGAATTCATTCTCCTTGTGACAATCAGACTTTTTGAGGGTGCTTGGGGGGATCGACAGGAAGGGGGCGGTGCGAGGACCTGGGGATCAAACCCATTTCCCTGCCCCCTTGTGTTTCGGATAGGTTTCAGGCCGGGAGAACGGATTCTCCGCTCTCCTTGCTCCTGTTCGGTAGTTTGGGTAATGGTCCATATGCTACCACGTACAGTATATATGGCATGATCGGTTTACGATTTCCCGCTTTGGAACAGATTCTCCGCTCTCCTCCTCCAGTGCTGTAGTTCGGCGAACGGTGTATATGTGGTTTGCAATCATAGTACTACTGCTCTTTACCCGGCTATTTCTACCTGCTGTCCTTCTGAGGAAGTGGTATGGGTCCTGTGCCCCATGTCACCCTCTGCTGCGTGGGGCTTCTGTCTTCTGAACTTCGTGTCAGTTGGTAACTATATGGAATGAGTACTTCATTGGCCGTGTGAACTTCGCCTCCGGTAGAGAGCCTGTAACACAGGCGCACACACACACACACGTGCATATGTGAAGGATGCTTCGGAACACATGCGTTCAGAACCATGTACATACAGTGGTCAATTATGCCATTACCCCCCCCCCGTGTTCTATGCACGAGAGTCTGGAGCAACGTTCGCACGAAGGGCCTCGACAACTGAGGTGCTGCTTTTCTGTGTTCTATGTCCTGCACAAATCCAGGCGCGGTTCGTGTCCCAGGTACAATCGGTGTAGTCCTAGATGAATGTTTGTATTGTTATGCTTTGCACGTTCCCAGCTCCGGGAAAAGCTTTGCTCTGACAGGGCAAGATTTTTTTGCAATTGTTATCAGGTTGCCAGACAAGAGATCACATGCATGGCAGGGTCCTGTCCTGTTGTGGCATATTTGTTCTTGTGATCTTTCATGAGCGCATGATTCGTACAGAGTTTTCGCCTTTCTGCATGGTTCACTGATGTACCATTACTTTCCATTCTCTACGTCCGTGTCAGCATCTATGTTTCGACCAGTTCCTTTCCCAACCCTGAAGTGGCACTTGGGGGATTGCCTGCCGCAGCTGCGAGGTGGTGGGCCGTCCCGGCGAGGACGGCTGCACGTGTGTCGACCTGTGGAATGCTTGGACGGACTCGGAGTGAAGTTGTGCCATGCAGGAGCTCAGCATGCTCTCCTTCGTGCTGGACTTGCATCCCTCGTGGGTCGCGGCCTTCTCCGCGGCTGTGATCGGTATGCATGCCACAAGCAGTCTGTTTCAGGCCGTTTGCTGGGCTGTGAGCGTAGTCATCTACTACCTGCTCTTTGCGACCTATGCTTCAAGGCCGCTGATGTTGCTGGCTCGAGCATGAAGCTAATAGCAAGAGGAAGCCTGCCTGCGGTAGCTGAAGCTCAGCTGAAGCGCCTTTGCAGGACGAAGCCCGGAGCAGATCTCCACAGTGCAGCCACTGGGGCGGTTTTTGATGTCTCAATTCTGGGGGACCCTCTAGAGAGAACCCCCGTCACTTCAGGTAGCATACGGTGAAGTGGATGTCCTTCGCAAGTTGCTGCGTCCGACTGGCTGCTCTTATTGTCACATCTATCCGGTCATGTCCCATCCGTCCTCGGAGCCACACCGCTGGATGTCTTCTCCGCCAGGAAGCTCGGAGCTCGTGCTCGATATTTCTCGCCTCCGTCTCAGAAGTCTTGCGCGTGCTTCGGCTGCGCGCACAGCGCAGGATGTCAGAACCTGCAGGTTTTGGCCCGGATGGACGGAATCCGTTGCACTTGGCAGCGCGAAGGGGTCAGGCGCGCACAGCACAGGGCACAGGATCTCACCCAAGGCCAGGTGTTCAGTTCAGCATTCACTTGCTGTGCATCTCTTGAAGGTGGAATGCATGAAGCTGCTGGTGGAGGAAAAAGCAGATTTGCAGGCAGCAGTGGCTCAGTGGCTCGCTGGATTGGCGGAAGCAAAACTTTTTGGATGCCTTGGAAGGCTCGGACTGGAAACAAAAAGCAGCACACGGCCCTGCATCTTGCTGCAATGAACAAGGCTGGCAGAGTCATTGGGCGCTGGGTGATCAATGTAGTAGGAGCTCAAGCCTTTGTCCTCTCTGTGACAACGATTGAAGTTGTTGAGCCTGGCTTCACAAGAAAGTTTGAAAAGCCGTGCAGACAGACCATGTGGGACATGACGGGCAAGTTAGTAGCTTTGCCAGGCTCCAGATGCGGTGCGATTCCTTTGTCAAGTTTGCAGAGGCAATGCGCAAGTGATTAATGCACCGTGGCCGAGAACAATTCAATCAGTGTAAGGAAGACTCGGCACTGAACTGGCATGTACCATCATGTACCCAGCTGGCAGGATTGAACTCACACTGCATCCAAGGCTGGAAATGCGGATGGAGACACTCCGATTCACATCGCAGCCAGATTTCACAACGTAAGGTACCGAGAAGACCGGCTTCTGACTTAGCCCAGGCCTAGTGGGCTAGGTTTGCATTGCTGGGGGCATCCACAGTCATGCTCTTGCTGGGGGGCTGGCGGGCGGGGGGCGGGGGCGGGCACACACGAGCACTCGAGGGTGCATTTTTGCTCCGGGCTCCGAGGGACAAAGTTTAGGGGTTGGGGAAGGCGGCTAAGAGCAGCCACACGAAAAGAAGGAGGGGAATCTCGAGAGTGGCACCTAGCCCACATTAAACTAAAAAAAATTATGAACAGAATTTGGTACAGCCACAGTGGGGCGCCAGTTTCCTGACTGCACCTTGGGCCTTGGGGGGCTTTCGGATTCAGGGGAGGAGAAATCTTCAGAGGCACGCGAGTTCCCGCGGACCGACTGCGGCAGCTGCGGCAGCTGAGTTGCAGAGTTTAGGGGACATCAGATCTCAAGCTGGCTGCTTCGGTAGCTTCAGCTTCAGCACTCGGCCTGTACATCGTCCACACAGCACCCGGGACGGCCCGGCACCTTCCGCACTTCCATTTGCTGCGCTTTGTGGGCCGGCCTGAGCAAGCACCGCAACTGGGCCTGACAATGGCCAGGGGCCAGAGTGATGCTGATGACAGCCCTTGATCTTGAAACACCGTTTACCCGAATAGGCTGGGACAGATTCCATGCCCTGTTTTTGTTGATATTCTTTGCACCTGAAATTGCTTCTGTGGAGTCGGAAGTGGCGCGGCCTTGGGGATCCAGCCCGATCTGACTTCAAAGATGATTTGCCATGGGGCCTTTCCTTTCCGACTGAAAATGAAGAAACTTGCTCACGGGAGAAAGAGGCAAGCACTTCGAATTCCTGAACAAGATGCAGGAGACTTTGATGCTAGCCGCAGCTCGTCTCCCTCTGCATCGTGGCGTGAGCCCACGCCGACACGCCCCTACAAAACCGACATGGGTGAGATACACGCCCGGGCAAAGAGAGGACTTTCCATTCGGAACAGGCCTGAGTCCTGCCACTTCGGGCATTGGGTTCAACAAGGCGTTTCCATTCTTGAGCTTTGCTCAGAGTCGTTCGTAAAGGCTTGTGGCAAAGGCTGAGCGACTGGCCCTATTTTCCCTTGGCTGTAACCAAAGTAATCCTCAAGCTCGAGAATACTCTTGCATACCTAGGTTGAGGTGCTTCGGGAGCTGTTGCGGCATCCTGGAGTGGACGTCAGGAGCAGTGCATGTCAGCTCTTGATAAGGCTCTGGTAGTTCAGTGCTTCGTCACAAACATGCGCTCAAGGAAGCTGAACAAGCAAGGGCTGGCGGCTGCTGAATGCCAGCATCCCACAACGTAAGGCACGGGCCAACACTGCGGCTCGGAGATGTAACATACCAAGGCGCCCCGTCCGACAAGTTTAGCTTCGACCACGACAGTGCGGAGTGTGCCATAGCCGACATGCTGCGAGATGCGGAGGCGCTTGGTCCAAGATTCTGTGAATGTTGCAGTGTGCTTGTTGATCCTAGTCCTGGTGCAGGCCACAAGCAGACAAGCTCCCAGAGGCACTGCCACGCCCGCACCTCTTCATGAAGATGGTCCAGTCTGCTGTCTGAAATTTGCCGTGACGAGGTCGGAGACAGCGAGGACGACGTTAGCCCAGGCAGGATCACCATTGATCAGACCGGAGTCAGCCCAATTGGAATGCCTTGACCACCTGAGAGGAAGCGCTGGAATTGTCCAGCTTGGCAGGCAACAGGTGGAGCTGCTAAGAGCTAAGGTGTCCCATCGACCTGTGGCAATCGCCCGGTGACTGCCAGGCCATCAAGCGGCGCCGTGCCGACGAAGGGAGTGGAGCCACTGGAGCAGGCATGCTTTTGTCCTGCAATCTTGCGGCTGCTTCCCGCGGCTTGCAGGTCGTGCCTGACGAAGAGGACCCCAGGCGAGCATCTTTCAAGCCGCCCGAGAACCTGCACCCTGACCACAGCCATCAGAGTGGATCAACGCATCGTTAACACAGTCCTTTGGATCCAAGTCCACTTTAGCAGGACAGTCCGTATTTTGGACAGGCCAGAGAAGTCGCAGAATGTACCGTTGATGCCACGGCCTTTATTCCACTGCACCTCTGAAACTTCAGAGCTGACAGGAGTGCTACCAGTACAGTAGCGGCCGAGCGTGTCGCTGGAGTCGCTGTGAGGTCTGTGTCGCGAGAGGCCGAGCAGAACTTCCTCAGGACGGCTTAGTGCAAGGACTGTTAGAGTAATGGGGGAGCTACCTTTAGGCAGCGGCACATAGTTCTCTGTCTTGACAGGGTCACGCAGGGTTCCGGCATGCAGCTGTGCTGAGCCTAGCCCGGATGTCATTCGTACTGCTACAGCTAGAGCATTGTTGCGTTAGGTGGCAAGTGCAGCGAGTTCTCGAGGTCGGTCGATGCCCCGATGGCGGTCACGAACTGTGGAGATCCTGGCTAATTGGAAACATGCTTCCTGACTGTGTGCCAGCATCACGGGCCAGATCTCCGCGAACTCAAACTCTCTCACAGCATTCTGCCAAGGTAGAGCTGTGATATTCTGGTCAGCAGCAGCACAAACCACACATGGCGGACCAGCTGTTTGTCACGTGCGCAGAATCCTGCCCCGTGTTGATCGCTTCACCGCCTTGTGCCCAAACTCAGCGCACAGCACCGTTCACACCTGCCCTAAACCCTTTGGTGCTCTGCCACTGCCAGGCCTCTCATCGTTCATGCTGAGTGCTGGCACGCAGCTCAAGACTTTAGGACAGGGCTGCTCTGCTGCTCTTGCGGTTGCTTCCCCGGCGTGATGCAGAGATCTGCTGTCCAGGTCTCGGGGCTGTCAGCAGATTCTTCCTGGGGTCGATCGCAGAAGATTCCGACAAAGGTATCTTCGCTTCTACTTATGGTCGTATGATGTCGTACGGTCATGTGTTGTAACCGTAGGTCGCTGAGATTCCATGCAGGCTTCAATGGCTCGGCGGAATCGCCATCGGTTAGCATCGAGGACCATGCCGGCTGGCTGCTAGCTGCGCACATACTTCGCTCAATTGCCACACTGAAGTCGGCCAGGACTTCGCAGAGATGCGCATGCTTGGCGAAGGAGCATTTGGCAAGGCCATCGTAGAAGCAGTCCTACATGCCAGCATTGAAGTTCTTGTTGCATTGTTGTGTGATTCAGATCGCTGAGGGTTCGTATCCGCTGCAGGTTGTCCTTGTGCGACACAAGGAGACGGGCGAACTCTACGTGCAGAGCCAAGCTTGAGATCAGAACGTCAGCTGCGCCATTTGTCCTCTTGCATGGTGACATCTTCATAGACTCACCATGGTACAAGGCAATGAAGACAATGGACAAGGCAAAGTTCAAGGCACAAAAAATCACAAGCAAAGCTCAGAGCGAGCAATTCATATTGAGCCTTGGCGACATCACTGCAACATGTGAGTTTTCATCTCAAGTGTTGCAGCTTCACGGGTCCATCGCTAAGGAGAACGACAAGGCGCGGGACGAGTGAACTCATAAGGGATGAGTCTTGAGAGCCGCCATGTGCACGGACTGAGAACTGGGCCTACACGTACTTGGGCTTGCGAATGTCCAGCGTACGCCGCGAGTGCGAACAGGCAGTTATGCGTAAACCTTCGTCGCAAGACACGCTTGCCGCTTTACTTTCCAGCTCCTGATGCGGCTACCAGCAAGATCCATCACGGTACGATGTGAGATGAAACTGGGATCTCTTAGATCTGTTTGTTGCCACTGCCACATGCATATGATGCTTTGAACGATCTCAGCTGCATGCTGCCATGTTTGGCTACTGCTGCCCCGGAAAAGAGACGCCCAACAGCTCTGGCGAGTAATGCAGTTGACATCGTGTGTCATTGTCATGCGTTGAGTTTGGCAGGCCTGGGTGCACATGTATCATTCTAAACTCCTCTGCTTGGCATTGCAGTCAATCTGCCGTGGAGTCGCCCAGTCCTTGTGGGGTTGCGCAGGGATCTGCGACTCACTTCGAGAGTTGGGGGAGTGACCCATTGCTCGGGATGCTTATCTTCGTCATTCGTTGATGGCTGCATAGAACCTATGCGAATGCACCTCGGAATGGACGTACCGAAGCACTATCCTGGAACACCGGGTTGTAGACTGTAGACACAGGCGTAGAACCTACGGGCAGGAGGAGCATGAGGGAAGGACTGACAGAAAGGATCGCGAGAATCTAGAGTGTAGAGTGTGCTGGAATCTTAAAGGATCGCAAAGACGGCTTATGAAGCCCAAGCCGGGCTTTGGAGAACATGCAGAATCCTTTGGTGACAGGCACCCCTTCATAGTGCAGCTGCACTTCGCCTTTCAGTGCTCATACTTCTGGGCTGCGGCCTCAGAGTCTCGTATAACTTTGCCTGAGCCCCGAGCACTCGAGTCCCGAGCCATCAGGCACTTGTCATGGACTTCTGCCCTAACGGAGACCTCCAGGCGGAGCGCTTGCACATGCGAAGAAGGTGCAAAGAGCTCGTCCCCTCCAGGGCTGTCTCATGAAGTACGGCCTGCCTGGACTCCGCCTGGAGGATCCTGCAGACGCTAGTCTTCCGAATCTGAGTTTGTTTAGCCACTACGTGATCAGGACGCAGCACGGTTTGCTGGAGAGGTGCTTCTTGCGCCGCTGCAGCTGCACGGATTTGACAGGAACACGGCCGGAAGCGATGAATCAGCCACGACATCCAATAGGGCGCGCAGTCACAGTAAAGTAAATTTTGCCGCCAGACTGGCAGAGGGTGACAGTGCTGTATACCAGAAGGGTATAGGCTCCGCCGCTTCGCAGCCCAGCGTGAATCTCAAGATATGAGGCTGGAGCATCTTCACGGCATCCGTGTTATCTTTCGTGATCTCAAACTGGAGAACGTCCGAGCCATGGAATGAGGGCACAGGGCTGCCGGCATGCGCCCCGAAACCGAGGTCGTCATCGACTCCAACTTCCGAGCCAAGGTGGCATGGCTGGCTTTGTGCCTACGTGTTTGAGGTCCGATCCCCTTGTGTCAGGTCACAGACTTTGGCTTGGCCAAGAAGCTGTATGCTGGAAGCAAGCTCCTCGTATTTTGCAGAATCGGAGGGCAATGCATGCTATGCTGCAATCTCTGTGTGACGCGTAAGGTGATGCAAACACGATGTCAGCAACCTGGTGATCCAGAATGCTTCCTCCGGGGAGCCTTCGTCGGAACATCGTTTCGTGCAGCCAGCCGGAAGCTATTAAGGTGTGGATCGTATGGGTATGCGGCGCCGGAGATCATGTTGAACACTGGCAGGCAGTTGACGTTTGCGAGATTGACCTCTGCTACTCTTGGCTGCGACTCAGATACACCTACGCCGTGGATCTTTATTCCTACGGGGTGATGCTGTACATGCTTGTGAGCGGCGGTGAGACATCACAACGAAGTCCTGCGACCGGAGCTCGGTAATTTGGAGTTCATCAGTTCAAACGCACGCGTTCTAGCCAAATTCTATGCTGGAGGGCGAAGACTCGACTGCCTCCAAAGACCCATGGGCAACTGAGCCTTGGATGTACGCAACGTCTGTGTAATGTTCGGAATCCATGGCGAGGGACGGGTGTCCATGGCACATCATAGCTCACATCTCAGGAAGAAAAAGCTCAGAGATTCGGAGAAGGACAGCGCCGAAAAGTTGCACTTGCTCGGATGTCCAAGTCTGCAGAGTGGATCAAAGGTTTAGTGAAAGCTGGCGTGATATCGAATTCGGCTTCGGCGAGACAAGAAGAGGGATGTGGTGGTGTTGTTGACGAGTGTACACAGCGTGTCTGCAGGACATCTCGCTGATGTGGGCCAGGTGCACCTTGTGTGAAGCCACCTGATTTGCCACTCTATGCATGACTTTTTGACAACAAAGGCCAGCATCAGCCGTGCTGCCGCTTCTCAAGACGCTGACTTCAGAGGCCGGCGCTGTGCGTGGGAAAACTCAGCAGTGGAAGTGAATGTGTCGCAGAACCCCATGGAGCGCACAAGCTCGACAACGCTCAAGTCCAACACCTTCTTTGCATCTTGGCCGGACTTTGCTCGACTAGTTCCTGCGCCGGGCGAAATCGGGATCGGAGCTGCCCTTGCTATCCCCTGCCAGAAAAGAGTTGGGTTTGTGGCTTGCAGAGGCCAAGTACTTACCTGGGCCGGCTCGTGCCCTGGATGACCGCGATGCAACTGCAATGATCGCTCACAGTTCAGGTTACCAGACGATATTTGAGGTATGAGCTTACTGCAAGTAGGGCACCGTTCTGCTGAGGTAGAGGCTCTTCTGGAAGAGAGGAAATATCCTCCTCCCCAGTCCGTGTCTCAGCACCGAAAATCCCCTGGACGTGCGAAACAAGAAGCTTTGGTCGAGGCAGTGACCTGTGAGCGATGGATTGGTTTTAATGCCTGCTAGCCGCGCGATTCTGCGCGTGCCTTGTGTCACAGCAGTCAACAGGCTGCCAAGTGCTCGCGCATTCTGAGCGGTGTGTTCATCACCTGTTCGATTGGAGTGCCCAGCGCATCAAGAAGACTGCCACATAACGTCAGAGGTGTACGTGCATTCCATCCATCTGTAAGGGTCGCGATGATGCTACTCTGATGCTGCGCAAAGCAATGTGACTGGTGATGTTAGGGAGCACACGCCACCACAAGTGCCACATTACAACGTCGCACAGTTGCTTTGGCAAGATGCTCGCCCGCCGAGCTCAGTGCCCGGCGCGATTCTTGGATTTGCATCCCTTGGCTACATGCCGGCGTCGGGTAAACTTACCACGTGCACACAGCAGGCCTGGCGAGAGTTTCCGGTCTTGGGCGAGCGTGACGTTGGTGAATAGGCGACCCGTCGACGGCTGTGGTGTTGGCTGGGCTGCCCAAGGCGACACGGCTACTGCTGTTGGAGGCAGCTGCGCAAGTGGGGCCGGTGTACCACCCGGCACGACTTGCTTGCAAGCACGCGCAAGCCCACGAGAAGTGCTGCAAGCCTCCGCTGCAAAAGGCCGCGCACGCCGCCGATGCAACCACTGACCCCACAAAGCAGAGGTGGCATTCCACGCCAGAGGCCCGGCACGGAAACGATCAATGAACGAACAGATCTGTGCAGTTTCAGCAGACCACGCGCGTAGGCAACGCCCCCCGGGGCTTCGTTGTGGCCCAGCCTGGTGCACCGCTTAGATGCTGCCCCCACCGCCCTCGGCAGCTCAACCCGTGTGCAGAGAGGCACGCGCTCCACGGGCCGTGCCAGAAGCCTTGCAATGCCGGGCGCGACCACACGTCTCTCTAACACGCCGGAAGGCCGCCTCGACGACGCGCCTCCGCACACTGACCATAACACTGCATGACACTGCTGCCGCAGCCTGTCAAGCAGCCCTTGCGCGTATCCCGGCTTCTGCGCTGCCTACCATGCAAAGCGTGCCTGTCTTCTTGGGCTCTGGCGTGCGACAAGCGTTCGTCCTCGCATCAGGTTCTCTACGAGAAGCTTTACACGCGTGGCACGGCCCCTCAACGCACCCTCACCGCGCTCGCGAACCTTGCACGAGCGCGGTCAGACGTGAAGCCCTGTTGCAACGCTCAAGCGACTTCCCTGCTGGACGATGGGACCCCTTGCTGGGGCGCTGCATGGACAGCCCGGGGGTCCCATGTGCCAGCCGGGCAGTTGACGTCAGTGCTGCTGCCGATAACGACGCCGTTCGCGCGCGGCGGCGGGCACTGGCCTGTGCTAACCTTCGGCGGGGTGAAGTCTTCGTGCGAGAGGTGTTTTTTGACATCCACAGCGATCACGCCCGGCACGGACGAGACTTTCGCTGCCTTGCCCGATCCGGCACGGTGCCCGCCGTCGCCCCAGCGAATGTTTGTTGTCGGCAAAACCGTTTGGGTCCCGCCTCACCGCGCTTCGCAAACCCTGCGGTGAACTCTGCAGTTGCACTGCTGGTCTTGCAACAGCTTCCATATCTCTGGAACTCGGCACATCGTGTCACTGAGTTGCCAGCAAACAGGTTGGTTAAGCGTGCGATGAGCTGGTCGCAACACGGAATGCGCATTCCGGGAAAACCTCGAAACTCCTGGCAAGCTCTCGAAGCGTATGCACGCTTAGTATTCCGACAATGAACGCGGGGGCTAAGCACCGGCCACAACTAGGCAGACAGGACGCCTTCAGTTTTGCAAGGGTGCTGGTCGCCCTGGTGCAAGAAGAGGGCAAGAGCGCAGAGCGTGAACAAAGCTTCATACAGCAGCGCCACATGGACATGGCTGGATTTGATTGAGACTTGAGAAGACGCGCTGAACGTCCATGGAGGAACGGGTGCTGGCATGTGCTGGCCACACCGAGCCGATGTCCAATCACGATCTACGGAAATGTACACACGTGAACTGGGGACAGCTGGGGTAAATCCAGCTCGGGAGGACATTCAGCGAAAAGACGCAGCAGCCGCGACTTTCAGCACGAGGCGCAACAACAGCGTGCCGTCTCCAGGCAGCCACGGTGCTTTCGCTGCAGCCTGGCGACACTCTCCCGACCCACGTGGTGTGTGATTGCCAGAGTCTCGGCTTGCTGGGCCAAAAAACCCGCTTGCTGGGCCAAAGACCCATAGGGTAGCGAAAAATTCATGCAGCAAGACGCCAGTATTAAGATCTACAGAGTGTTTTTGTGCACTTTGCACTTTGCCACTGGCGTCAGGAGTGCGACAGGAAGACCACGGTCCGTCGACCCTTTCGTCCGCACTGAGGGAGTGTGCCATGTTGACGCGCCTCCCTGCTCGCCGGCTTCCCCTCGACTCAGACTCACGTTTTCCCGCCTCCCCCTGTCATCCCACCAATAGCACATATGATGTGCACCCGTATTGGAGGCGGGCGAATGGGCGTAGACCGCTTGGCAAGAGCGCGCGCGACCAGCCTCCGGAAGCAATCGCTCGTAGCGATTCCGCGGACGCCACCAGCTGCAGCGCGGTGAAGCGTGCGAGCGCTACGGACGTGGTTGCGAATGCCAGTATATGGAGGCTCTCCGGAGAGCTTACCCTTAGTTTGCTTTCGCACATCCTGTTTCGTGTTGGACGGCCTTTATAAGTCCTGCCAAGTCCTGTGCGAGTGTCGGCATTGTCGGCCTGCCGGTATAGCTCTTGATTGGGTGGCTGACGTGTGCACTTCCCAATCTTCCCACGCAAGGGTCTGCTGTGAGTAAGTTGTCTCCGCCTGGCAGCTCCGGCGGTGTGAACGGGAAATAACGGGAAAAAAAAATGCCTTGTTCGCGGGTCGCAAATGACGTCGTGGTGTGCCTCGGTCGGCTGACCTCGGTCCGGATGTGTGGCAAGGTGACACGTCCAATCGTGGGAGCGGCTGCTGGAGCGGAAACGTTTTGTTTCCAACGAACGAACTCCCCGACCTTCAGTGTGCCTGGCTGCTGCTGGCCCTTTGCACGTCGCCCCTGACTAACCAGGGTTTGCACACCCCCTTCCACGGAGGCTGCAGGGTTTGCGGCGGCACATGTTGCATTCTTTGCCTGCATCGGAGGAGCACGGTCATCCGCGCCCACCGCCCCAGTTTGCCACCACCTCCTGCTCATGGAAAGTTGGTCGGCCTGTCCCACTTAGGCCACCTAGGCGACGGCGACGGTGCTCGACAACCGCCGAGTGAAGGCTGTGCATGGGTGGTCCACGTAGCAGCGACACGGACACGCACTTTTTACCTTCGCGACCTTTATGCTGCGGCCGACCATCAACATGGTCGTCTGCCGCATTTTTCCTAACGAAGGGTATTGTGGTGCGATGCGACATTAGCCTCCCCGGTTTGGCGAGATGGCCTGCCACAAGAGCGCTCTGCGGACGAAAATGGGGCTGCTCAACCACGCTACGCGCGGCAGAGATGCGATCTACCCGGAGTTGCTGCGCAACGGTCCCCCGCGCCTCGTCATGTTCGGCAGAAGGTCACGCGGCCGCTTGCCTCCGCGAGCCGGGCTACGATGCTCCCGCGTGGGATTCGCTGCTGCAGGCACGGCCCGGGCACGACGAACGCGAGTTTGGGCATTTTCACACTGATGCCGCATCTCGAGTGCTGCTGCTGTCACAGGCCTGCCTTGACAAGAGGCGTGCCTCCACAGTGTTTTCCACCTCATCTGAGTTGGCGTTTTGCTGCTGCGACGGCTTCGCCTGCTGCTGCCAGTCGGACCGCGCACGTGCGCTTGCCGCGGTCGCCTTAACCCCTGTGACGACTACAGGGTTGCGTGTGCAACTTCACGTGGGTGTGCCAAGAAACCGGGGCGCAGGTCGCCCGCAACGTTCGCCTGGAAGACACGGACATCGATGTTCCGGTCTCCGATGACCCCCGCATCGAAGTTGTCGCGAACGCGCTGTCCGTGGTGCATGGCGCGCAGCAAACGGTTGATGCCACCAGTGTCAGCCCTGTCGCGCGGGCGGGCGGGTGATGCCCAGCCGGGTGCTGATGTGCACCCTGGTCGAGCTGTCGATGGGGCCGCGAGGCCGCAAGACAGCATCGGTGCGCAAAGCTTCGCTGTCGATTTTGTAGTGTGGGGCGCGGACGCCATATGGGCTTGGTGCGGCTGCAACACTGTATGTCAACCTCGCACCTTTCGGTGCGATAAGTGACATAGACCTGGGATGGACTGGGGACAAGCGGTCAGCCCAGCAACTGCGCTGAGGGCGTTTTTTTTCTCGCGCGCACCTTTATCTCGCGCCCAGGGTCAAAGCCTGTATACCTGGTCCCACTGAGGCGCACGACCAGGTCACCAGCCAGCGAGGCCCGTGGCTGCCAACCAGCACAAGCTGCCAGCGCACGTTCGCGAGGACCCCGTGCAGCTCGGGCGCCTCCGCGGGGACGCGGCACTCCCCCGCCAGCGGGAGTTCCACGCCCGGACCAACAGGCCACCCACGCCTCACGCGCTGCTGCTCGCACGGCCGTCCGAGGCACGTTGCCCGGCGAGCAACCCGAGCCAGGTGGCAGCCTAAAAAAAAAAGGTGGCAGCCTCCGCTTCCAACGGCATGAGACGAGGTACGCAATGTCGATATTTGCTGGTTGGGGGGAGACATCCTATGTGTTGCAACCCCCATGAGCGTGCCTTCTTCTGTGTTGTCCGTTTTTGCAAGCATACCGGACCAGCGTGACAATGTCAAATCAACACCGGAAACTACCAGATCAAATTGGCATAGAAAGGTTCTTCTGTCGCTTTGCGGGCCGATTCGCAACTGCCGAGCCGCCCCAACAAGCCTCATGCTGGCGAGCAAAAAAACGGTGCTGGCAGCAGCTGGCTTGCTGGAGCAACCGGCGCGGCAATTTTGGGATGTGCACGTCATCTTCGGTGATTTGTGGCCCACAACAGTAATGGCGCTTCTCCTTCGTAGTCTATTGCCTGTGCGCGACGTCGGCCAAGCCT